GGCACCCGCTACCACGCCGGTGAATTTTTTTTTTTTAATCGTAGAGATGAGGTCTCGCCAAGTTGCCTGGGCTGGTCTCAAACCTGTGGGCTCAGGCAATCCCCTCGCCTCAGCCTCCCAAAGTGCTGGGATTACAGGCTGAGCCACCGAGTCTGGCCCTGGTTATTTTTAAAACCAACTCTCTGCTTTGTCCCCACCAATCACCTCCCCTTGAGACCCACCCTCTCCTTGGACCCAACCTCTTCCACCTCCTGGTCTGCACCTTCCCACACCCCAAAGCCAGAGATTCTTGAAGAAAGATCCTGGCTCTGAGATTCAGATTCCAGGCAGGGGCAGGATTTCCCAGTGGTGGAAACAATGGGTGGCTCCGGAGCCCCGGGGCCTTCCCCTACTCTTCACCTCTCAGCCATCTGCCCCCACAGCTCTCCTGTCTCAATCCTATGGGCCTCCGCCTGGCGTTACTAACCCACTGTCTCTCACACCTCTCCTGCATCTTCTTTTCACCTCTCCATCACTCCTTCTGATGTCTTTCCATTTGCACTCTCCAGCCCCCTCACTGTCTGCCTGCCTGTGGCCCCAGGCCCAACTGGAAAACACACACTCACTTACTTCACCCTTCCTCAGGGAGGGAGAGGAGGCACCCAGATTTAGCCCCAAGGCCTAAGTTCAGATGACCAAAAGCAGACAGCCTTCACACTTCTGACGTGCATCCTCTGTGTACTCTTGGGCAAGTCACCTCCCGCCTCTGGTCCTCCGTTTCCCCATGTGTAGAGAAAGAAAGTAGAAGAGTGTATTCTAGATTGCCTTGCAGCTCTGATATTCTATGATTCTGTGATCTGTTCTCACCCTGCTGCAAAGCTACTGCCCTACAAATAATGAATGCTGATTTGCATGTCATGTTTATGCATTTATGTCCTGTTGAAATGCACATGAATTTGCCACCCAACCCCCATCTAGTCTTCATTAATAATACTCAGAGACCCAGCCTGGGAAAACAAATGGTGGGACCTGTTTGGAGAAGGGAATTTCTGAGTATCCTGAAATTCTGCCGCTGCCATGCAAATGATATCAGACCAGCAGGCAAATAGAATCAAGTTGAGACAGTCAGAGTGGGAAAGCCAAGAGTGTGGCCCTGAAGCCCCAGTGGGGGATAATGGACTCTTCTGGAGGGAGCAGGACTGCTGGACAAGGAGGCTACAGTCGGGGCAGGGGGCCCCTGTGTGCCCAAACCAGCAGGGGTAGGGATTAGGGCCGGACGCCCTGCTGTCAGGTTAGGACTGATGGATCGCCGCTGGTGGCGGAGCACAAAGGCTGTTCTGTGCTTGGCACCAATGTGTTCCCATCCATCAGAGGGCAGTTGCGGGGGTGGAGGAACGTGCAGGGGGAGGAAGACCAAGCCTCTAGAGAAGGCCTCTCCACAGCTCAGCTCTGAGAGAAGAACAAGGTGGTCAAGGGCCAATTCCCCACCCCCACCAGGGTTTTGAGAGGTCAAAGACACCTGGGTTGCTCTATCTGCTCAGTGCTGAGAGGGTCTGTACCCCAGAGCTGGGCCCTGACATGGTCCCTGTACCACTTACTCAGACATACACAAACACACGTACAGACAGGATTCACAGAAACTCAGACACACAAGGTCACCCTAACTGCATGCTTGGTCAGAGGCAAGCATCATACGACACAAGACCAAACACACCCAACAGAGCTGCCTGCAGACAACAGCCAAGTCTATTCACTGTTCTTGCTCCAGGTCTGGTCCCAGCCAGGGGACTAGGACAAAGTACATTCTCAGTAAATATGTGTTGAGCAGATGGAGTGAATGGATAAATTCCTTCTCTAGATTATACTGGCACTTTCTCTAGCCTACTCTTTTATTACCTACCTTGGTAAATGACTCTGTGTGCTCATGTTCCTTACTCAACGGTCAGTACACTCAAGGCAGAGAGGTTATGTCTTATTCATGTTTGTGACCCCAGCACCCGGAAACCTCTGGGGTAGAGTCAGGTTTCCCCCCTTCACTCCTGCTGTTGTGGTCCCCTGGAGACAATGAGGACAACCTACGGGGAGGACTATGGGGCTTAGCAGGGGCAGAAGCAGACAAGAGAACAAAGCAAGAAAAGGGATAAACATTTATTGGACATTCCCATGTAAGTGCCCTTTCATTTAATACAATCACTCCCCTGTCACCTGCGCACACATCATCCTTTGCCAGCCTGAATCATGCATCCTCTCCCAGCCAAATCCATCCTCCTGCCTTTGGCTGGATGATTAGGACCTTTATCATCTCACTCTTGGATGACTGTCATGCTCTACTATGTGGCTTCCTCCTATGTAGGCAGGCTTGACTCCAAGCATCCCCTTACCTGAGCCTGGAACTCCATACAAGCCTGTCTACCCAGTGCTCCCTTTCCCTCCTCCCTCTCCTCATCCAAATCCTACCCCAAGATCCAGTCCAGCATGCACCTCTTCCCCAAGCCTTCCACAGGACTCCCAGCCTGTGGTGGTTTTGCCTTCCCATAAATTCCTGAAACCCTCTTTTGAGGAACCCACTCATTTGCATTTGATCAAAGCTCCCATGTTTACTGAGGAGTTAACTCTCTCTTGCCTTGTGATTTCATCTTCACGTGTCAATCCACACTAGCCAACTCAGTAGTAAGGTCTAGAAACCATCACAGAAAGAGCTAGTTCTGCTTCCATTTTAGAGAAAGAAGACACATTGGGAGAAAGATTGAATCCTGAAGGACGAAAGAGGCAGTATCTGGGTTTTTGAAAAGTCAACATCATTGCTTTTCTCAGGGCTCATAGGATTGACCTGTAAACTGAGGCATGTTTTATTTATTTTTTTTTCCTGTTTGACAAAGGACATGTTGGAAATGGAGATTCTTCCTCAGCCCACCCTTGACATGGTCAAAGCAAAGTCTAGAACTCACAGTATTCTTGCTGTCACTTTCCATTATGCTGGGAAGGTCAAGAACTGAATTAAGACCTTACTGCTCTCCCTCAACATGCTTGAGATTCTCACTCTCCAGCTATGTCCCCACCTCACCTCTGTTTTTTTATCCCAAAGGACACCATACATTTCCTGGCCCCTTGGCATGGATCATAGGAGGAAGGAAAGCTGGTCCTTCAAAGGTTGTGCAGATCTCACTCCCTCACCTCCCCCCCGTCCCCACACTTGTGAAGTCATCCCTGAGTCCCCAGCATGGCTCCCCTTCCTCTTATTGTTCTTGCCACTGGTTAGACTATCAGTTTGATCTGTCATAGGAGGAGGGATAGCAGGACAGATCAGACTTAGTCCACAGGGTCCTAGGGAAAAAAGATATAGGAAGCAGCTGGCAGCTCAGAGCCCAGAAGGACTCCAGAAGTCATGTATCCATGGAACAGACTGTCTTGTGATGTCAGCAAAAGCTGAACAATGGTCACCTGGGAAGGAGATTCGGGCATCAGGAGTTGGGTAGAATGAGGTGATCATCGTGGTCTACTAGATGGTAAGGTCAAAAGTAGGGTCCCTGCATCGGGTGTCCCTATAATCCCAGCCCTAACACTAAGCCTTGTTCACTGCTGGTGGTGGAGGCCTACCCACTGCCCTGAAAGGAAGTGGTCCTCTAAGGCCCCCAGGCCTCTACTGAGAGGTGACCGTGAGCTGAGAGGTTCAAAGATTAAATAGTCCCTGCTCCACCTGACATTTGAGCCCTGCGTGATACATGTAAAAGTGATGACTCAGACAGGAAGAAGCAAAACAACCAAGCCAGGTGGTCCAGGAAAGAAGATATCTAAGCTGGGTTTGCAGCCGGGTGCAGTGGCTCACATCTGTAAATCCCAGCACTTTGGGAGACCAAGGTGGAAGGATCACTTGATCACCCAGCCTGAGCAACATAGTGAGACCCTGTCTCTACAAAAAAAATCAAAAAAGTTAGCTGGGTGCAGTGGTACAACCCTGTGGTCCCAGCTACTCAGTAGGCTGAGACAGAAGGACCACCTGAGCCCAGGAGATTGAGGCTGCGGTAAACTGTGATCATGCCACTGCACTCCAGCCTGGGCAACAGAGTAAGACCCTGACTCAAAACAAACAAACAGAGTTTGAAGGATTCTGTCTTCTCTCCTTTCCCACCCTCATCCACAGGAAGGAGTCAGGAAAATTCTGGTGTTAGAAACAGAGTTGAGGAGGCAACATTGAAGAACAGAGTAAGAGAGGGAGACAGAGAGCTTAGTAGATCTTGACCTTGTCACTATGGGGAAGGTGGCCACATATAAGCTGGAAGTTCTAATCCCTGCTCTGATCATGACTGCTATATTACATAAAACTTTCTCCTGACCTCTGCTAAAAAACTAAAAAGTTTCCCTTGCCTTAGTTTATCCCCAGTCACATGAGACCTTAGAGAATATATGACATCAACACAGTTTTGAAAGCCCGGAAGCTGAATCCATTTGCCCCTCTGAATCTCAATCCTCCTTATCCCTGGACATGGAGTACCCATGAATGCCCAGAATTTGAAGGGAGGGAGGTCTTTGAGAGAGTCTCCTCTGCCTGACATAGTGTGGTCAAGGTGCTGTCAGGAAGCAGGGAGATGGGTAAGTGGACTCTTAAGGCCCCTTCCAGCCTAAGCTTACCCCTTCCTCATTTCTTCCTCCCTCTACACCCCCCAGCTTCTTTGGGACTAGCCAGGAGGTAGCAGGCAGGCTGCCCAGCTAGGAGTTATTGAAAGGAGCAGATGAGAGGAGAATGTGTCCTCCCCCACCTCCCCTACCCCACAGGGGCTGCCGAGAAATGAAAACTAATCAAATTACACCCGACGGCCTCCCGACCTGTGCACAGAAGCCAGCCTGGGCCAGGGGCAGGCTGGCTGGGTGGGGTGGGGGCCATGGGGGAGAGGGAAGGGGAATCACATCTAATCCACTGTAAACGTCTTGATGTGCAGCAACAGCTTAGAGGGGGGCTCAGGTTTCTGTGGCGTTGGCTATATTTATCTCTGGTTCCATGCCAGCGGGGAGGGTTTAAATGGCACCCAGCAGTTGGCGTGAGGGGCTGCAGGAGCTTGGGGGCTGGTGGCAGGAACAAGTCTCTTCCGACCCCATGGAGCTGTATGAGACATCCCCCTACTTCTACCAGGAACCCCGCTTCTATGACGGGGAAAACTACCTACCCGTCCACCTCCAGGGCTTCGAGCCACCAGGCTATGAGCGGACTGAGCTCAGCTTGAGCCCTGAGGCCCGAGGTCCCCTCGAGGACAAGGGTCTGGGGACTCCCGAGCACTGTCCGGGCCAGTGTCTGCCATGGGCATGTAAGGTGTGTAAGAGGAAGTCGGTGTCTGTGGACCGGCGGCGGGCGGCCACGCTGAGGGAGAAGCGCAGGCTCAAGAAGGTGAACGAGGCCTTTGAGGCCCTGAAGAGGAGCACCCTGCTCAACCCCAACCAGCGACTGCCCAAGGTGGAGATACTGCGCAGTGCCATCCAGTACATAGAGCGCCTGCAGGCACTGCTCAGCTCCCTCAACCAGGAGGAGCGCGACCTCCGCTACAGGGGCGGGGGCGGGCCCCAACCAGGGGTAAGTGGCCATGCCATCCACCTGCCCCAGGGGTAGGAGGGCCAGAGCGAGGCACCTGGACAGCCTCAAGACCCGAAGAGGCCTCGGTCAGGATCTGGGGGGGCTACAGGAGCCCTTCCTTTGTCAGAGCTGGACTGTCTGACTGGTCTCCTGTGTCCCGTGTTCTTCCCAGACAGGATAAAGACAGTGGGGAGGAAGTGCAGAAGGTAGGGGGGTGGGTAGCTGGGTGGCATGGGGCTGAACAAGGGAACCAGGATCAGGTCCACAGTCAGCCTGGGTGAGGGTGAGGATGAATCACCATGCCTGAGTCAGAGCCTAAAAGGCCAGCCCAAGTACGCCAGAGAAGACTGCTTTGCCCCCTACCCTATACCAGTCTTGGGTGTGGCGAAGCAGAGAGAAAGCCCACTCAGTCTCATGGAAATCCAGCAGGCCTACCCAGAGTGATCTTCAGTGGGCCTGACATTCTGCCTCCCTCACCCTTATCCCCAGGGTCAGGAAAACTAGAGACCCCTTGAAGCTGGTGTCCTGTGAGGGCAGAAGCACCACCCAGGATGGAAGCCATGAAAGCCCTGGAAGCAGGGCCTCTGTGGCGTGAAAGAGCTGGTTGTGAAGGTTAGGGATGGCCAGGGCTGGAGAGCTGCAACCTGTGGCCCACATTCCAACCCCACCACAGGTGCTTCTGCCCACTGGGACTAGGCAGACGGACATATCAAAGAAAGGCTGTGCCCTGACCTTGGGCTTTCGCCCTATCTTGCAGGTGCCCAGCGAATGCAGCTCCCACAGTGCCTCCTGCAGTCCAGAGTGGGGCAGCGCACTGGAGTTCGGCCCCAACCCGGGAGGTAAGTGAGGCCTGACCTTGGCTCAAATCCCTCAGTCCCCTCTCTAGGCCAGGTTCTCCCCTCTTACCTTATTCCTTGCTCCAGTCCTCTTGCTTTGGCCTCTCCAGGGACCTGCTGATTCCCAGTCCCCAAATGGTGGGTCAGGCAGCCCTATGCCTCCTCACAACCTTGACCAGCTAAGAAGTGACGGTGGCCTCCTGCAGCTCCCCAGCCAGTGCCTGGTGGCTGACCTTCTCCACTGAGAGGAGAATGTCTCTGCCCCAGGGGTCCCTGGGAACTGCTGAGTCAGTGCTGCAAAACTGGGCCCAGCAAAGGGCAGTCCCAGGCTCCAAGAATACACTGCCTTGCAGTGACTGCTTCCGTATCCTAACCCCATTAGAGAAATTCAGACAAACACACACACACACACACACACACACACACACACACACACAAACACAAGCACACACACACAAACACAAACACACAAACACACACAGAGAGCAACAGGAAAGGCAGGGGCCAGGGAGTAGGACTCCTGATTTTTGTTTACCCATCTGTCCTGGAAAACCTGTCACCCCAGTGGTCCCATTCTCCCACTGGACTTCAAGACCTCCTTCATCTCCCAGGTAACACCTCCCACCCTCTCCCTACAGATCATCTGCTTGCGGCCGATCCTACAGATGCCCACAACCTGCACTCCCTCACCTCCATCGTGGACAGCATCACAGTGGAGGATGTATCTGTGGCCTTCCCAGATGAAGCCATGCCCAACTGAGATTGTCTGCCAGGCTGGGCATCCGTGTGAGGCCCCCAAGCTGGCCACAGATGTCACTGCTTCTGAAGCAGGGGCCTCCTAAGCCAGGCTGTCCTGATGCCAGGAAGCTGGTCCTGGGCTGCCGCAGACCAGACTGTCCCCTTCCTCGTTCATATAAGGTTAACCCGCCACCCCGTAAGGGAATGGATGCCCTCATTTAGCTGACTCCTTAGAGCAGAGGGCATCCCCCTTCTAAGGAGATAAAGCAGGGGACCAGAATGTTCCCTCATGTATGCCCCCGGCTCAGGGGGCAACTCAGGAGCTTCCTTTTTATTACAACGCAGTCTCTAATTCCACCCCCAAATGCAACAGTTCAAGAGACAAAGACAGTGTCCTGACCTGGACAAGCTGTGCATGTCTCCAGTTCTGGTCTCTTTCTGATGTCAGTGGCTGGGCTGGGCCTGCCCTGAACTGCGAGAGAAGAAAGTGAGAGGAACAATCCTCTGTTCCCAAGTCCCTGGGGGGCCAAGCTTTTGCAGTGAATATTGGGAACCTTCCAGTGGTTTTATGTTTTGTTTTGTTTTGTGTGTCATTTGTAAAGCTGCCATCTGACCAAGGTCTCCTGTGCTAAAGTTGCCAGAGACAGGCAGGGAAGTGGGACGGGCTCTTGGGGTGATTTATTTTGTTAACTAAGCATCGTGTGGTTTTGCCATTGTTTTGTATTTTTTTGCTAACTTATTTGGATTTCCTTTTTTAAAAAATGAATAAAGACTGGTTGCTAGAAGAGTGTCAGTGGTAATATAGAGGGAGGGAAATGACTGCAAGCCCTTGACCTTCCCACTCAGCAGACCAGACATGCCCTAGGGGCAGGGCTTCCACGGTTGGAGTGGGAGGGACTCCACAGTACTGCAGGCCTCATCTTGGGAAGGGGTCACTAAGCACTGGGGACCTGGCTTTTTTTCCCCTGAAGACAGAAGTCAGGTGGGTCTATACCAGAGGCTGGGTGAAGACCACATTCCACAAACATGCTGGTGGGATATCGAGGACAACCACCTGAGCGCTCCTCCGTTGCACTCTAATTCATAGATATGGCTTGCAGGTGGCTGCGCCCCATCTCAAATTCCAGTAAGTCCACTGGCCTCAGTTAAATGAGCATGCTCTTATGCCCAGTGCTTAGCCCATGGCCAGAGGTGCACATCTGGAATTTGTGGGTTTCTCCTCCCCAATCCCTACCTCTTTCCTGGTGCCACAGTCCCAGGAGCCTGTAGAGAAGTAGGAGATGAGGGAGAGAGTGGGGTCAGACACTGCTGCATCCTTGCAAGCCAGACAGCATACCCCCTCGCCACGCTCTTCTATTCCCTCCAGGTGGAAAGGGATTCTGGTCCTGCCTACAGTCCAGAGCATGAAGAGGATTCTGGTGGGGGAGGGTGGAAGGCTTCACAACAACTGAAGGAAGAGAAACTGGGATTCTCTTCATTTGGGATGCTGTTTTTCAAAGACTGGCTTCCTGAGGGGGAGAAGGTGGGTGGGAAATTGAGAACAGAGGTTTGGAATTGAGATTATATAAGGATTAACAGGGGAGTGAACAGGAGCTAGAATTCAAATGGACCATGAACATCTACCAAAAACGTTATTAATTCCAACTCCTTTGGGCTAGATTTGTCTGATTTATTGAAAGTTATAAGTTTCAGAATCATTACAGAAGTCTGGGGATTCAGAGCATGGTACATTCCGCCCCCTCCACCTTCAATTCTTTGGGGTCCTTGACAACGAACTTAACCCAATATTGCTAATGAAGCACTGGTGACCACCCACACTGACTCTGGGCTCAGCTGGGCCATCCCCCCACACCTCCTCCCTGACCTTACTCCTGTAGAGGGGGTTAACACTCTGCCTCTGGAGTTTCTGCCTAAGGAACAGAATAGGAAGGAAGCCTCAGAAGAGGCTCACAGAACTTGGGTAAGGATGCAGAAGGAAGGGTCTCACCAGGGCCTGCTTGTCCCCAGCAACTAGTCAGGGCTGGGCTTATTAGAAATCATAAATTGGCCACATCTGCTCCCATTTGTGGAATCTTATTTTTCTGGAGTTTGTATCACTGAACTTATAGTCCCTCCCCCTTGGAGGGGCTGAAGAGGAAAACCTAAGGTCATTTCCATGACTCTTAGCCCTGACACTGCCCTTGGGAATGAGGAGGGCAACAGGGCTGGCTGCAACGCCTTGGTCCTAGAATCTACATTCACTCCCTTAGTACCTGCCGAAAATGCCAACTACACATTCAAGAGGAGATCTTCTTCCCTCAGGTTCATTTTCTACCCCCGGTACTTCCCAAGCACCCAGGGCAGACACAACCCCGCTGCCTTCAGTGTGACCTGCCTGTCCCCTTACCCTCCTTCTTGCTGGAGGCCAGGGCTGGCTAAGGAGGGCACTCGATTCTACTAAGGAGCTGATAAAGGCTCTGGGGTTGCTGGTTGTATTCTTTTAAGTATATTTCTCTTCAGTTATCCTGTCAGTTGGAAACTGAGGTTCATATTCATATCCTGGTAAGATTGAACAGTCTTCAGCAATGGTTACCAAAGTCAACAAAGCCCTACCATTCTCAGGTGGGGTCACTGTCTACTTGCTTTTGTGCAGTCTTTAAGGGACAAGCAGTTTGCTGGAATTCCACAGGCATGAGTAGCAAACTCTGCCAGGCAAAGCCTAGCCTCACTCATTATTTTCAAAAAATAAACAATTGTCATCAAAGCAAAGGGACTTCCTTAAATTAGCAAATGTTTAATCTTCACAATAGAATTACAGATAAGATTCCAATTAATGAATAATGAATTAGAGTTCTTTAGGGAAATTAGCCTAAATTTGTACTTTAGTGGAAGTACCTACAATAAATCCAACTGGGTTAATCTAGCATTGCCTAATAATGGACTTTAGGGAATCCACTAGAATGAAAAGATATTACTTGAAACTGACATAACAATTGTTAGTGTGTAAGCAGGAACTTCTTAGAATGTTTAGATCATTAGTGGGAATTAAAGAATGCCTAAAGTACTATTTGTGGCACTTCAATAAACATTCTTAGGTATCTAACCTCTCAAAGTAATTTATTTGGCAAACTGGAAAATCTTTTCAAGTGCTGCAGGTATAGTAGGTGGCTGGATCAAATGGAGAGGGAGGCGGAGGAGGGACAGGGGAGGGTAAGAGGAAAGGAGTCCCCTCAGCTCTGGTATCTGTTTCACAGATTAAAAAAAATCACCCAACATATCAGGTCTCTTGGATTTCTATAAACTCCTGGTTTCTGGGCTCCAGGCAGGGGCAGAGAAGCCTGAAAACTCCAGATTGAGCTGGGGTCTTGCCTGAGGAAGCACAGCCAGACCTGGATAGGAACTCCAATCAAGACTCCTCTGAGATTCTAACTGGGCCTCACCCCATCTCCCTCAGTCACAGGCCCCCAGTTAGACCCAGACTCCCTGCTTCTCACTGCTTGGAGCATTCCTAGAGGGGACAAAGGAAAGGGTTCTAGGAAAGGAACCTAAATTCTTCTTTCCTACAAATGCTGATGGACACATGATATTGGGGTCTCACCTCAAGCTCAAAATCAAACCCACATTTCCACATAAGCCTGCTCCTTCTCTACTCCCCATCCCAGTGGATGGTAACACAGTGAAGTCATAGTTTTCTGGACCGCTTTGGGGAAAAGCTCATTCTCATGGCCAGTAGAAGAGGGTAGGAGGAAATCCCAGAGACTGAAAGGTTCTAGGCCAGCACCTCCCCTTGCCTGTTTGCCCTCCCTGGGCTATATCCAGGTTGCTTTGTATTGCCCCCCTCCTGCCATCTGTGCCCGTGGACTCTGTCATCCTTCCCATCAATGTCTGGGGTACTGCCAGGCTTGGAGGGGACACAAGGATGCATGATGCATTGTGTCCCACGTAGGCGAGTAGAAATATGGCCCCATGAAGACTCACAGGACCCAATGACATATGAGTGGTGCAGACAAAGGTGTTGGGGAAAGGGAGCTGGGTAGCTGGGGAAGGCTTGCTGAGGGGCAGAGGCCTGAGTTCACTTAAAAGAGCAGCAAGCTCTTGGCACAGGGTCAGAAGTTTTAACACATATTGTATTTAAGGACAAGGTGCTGGAATCAGGAAGACCTAGGTTTGAGACCTACATCTGTCTCTTACCAGCTGTGTAGTCTTAGCCTTAAAATTTCCTGTTGTATAAAATGGAAAGAATACATCACAGGGTGGTGAAGACTAAATGAGTTAATACATTTACAATGCTTACAACAGTGTCTGGCATGCAGTAGTACTCAATAATTTTTAGCTATGTTATAAATATTAATTTTGATAACAACACTCTGAGAGAAGGTTGGTCCATTTATTCATTCAAGTATGTGTCTAGGGATGCAGAAATCAAGACCGATCTAAGGGAGCTTTCTGCAGCCAAGTGTGAGAGACAGACAAGGAGATGATCGCTGCACAGCATATAGGGCACACTGGCTATCTAATGCTGCTGGGGAGGAGCAGGTAATGCCTCCCAGGTGACGCTTGCAGTGGGTCTTGAGGATTCAAAGCTGCAAAGGTAAGGAAAGAAGTAGTCGTGCTGCCTTCTGGTGATGGGGCTAGATGGGCATTATGTTTCTGAGTTAGGTAGGCTGGTGGGAGGAGGACAGAGTGAAGAAGTCAAGTCATAAATGGCTTCCTAGGTCACTCGGAGGAGTTGAATCTCTGATGTAGAGATACCAGGGAGCTGCTCTAGTGTGAACAGTGGAGTAATGTGACCAGAGGGCCTTTAGGAGAAGGAACTCAGAGCAGTATGAAAGGGCATGAGCCTGGCCAGGTGAACAGAGATGAACAGATGGACACAGACATCAATCTAGCCCCACAGGCTCCTCCCTCCACCTTTTTCTCTACTCCCTTGGCGAAAGTAACCTGAATGTTAACCTCTCTATCATTCTTGCAGTCATATAAGTAAACAGACAGTTACTGACTATAAGTTCTCAAAACTGGGCTAATTCCTTCCCAGAAGGCAGCAGCCTTTAGGACTGAAAAAAGCTGGAAATGTCAGGCGAGCTCAAAGTTTAAAAAAACAAAACAAAACAAGACCAGAGGCCATTTGTACATTGTCTTAAAACCAGGTTGTTTATTGGTACGTACACACCCACACTCACATCCACACACACCCACACACCCAATCCTGATGCACTGAGCCAATACAGTACTGAGAAGGGACCTGATAAGATACAGGAGGCTGGTGTGGAGGGCTTGGGTCACTGGTGACTCTCCAACAAAAAAAATATATTGACTATGAGGCAAGGGATACACCAAGACAACAGCCTTTCATCACTGTATGCACAAATTTCTCTCCTATGTCACCTCCCTGCAGCACTTCCCAAGGTGCCCTGAATGGACGCAGCTCTGCCTCCCAGCTGCTGCTTTATGACATGGCCAACCATGATAGGGTTGAACTGTATACAGGAGCAGCTGGGGCTGAATCTCTCACATACCTTGCCCATCAAGAGTTCCCTGAAGGATTCTGATGGCCTACAGTGCACAACTCTACCAACCTTAGGAATTTGGGATCCGTCCATAATCTTAGCAGCCAAAAGGGGCCTTTCTCTCCATCCAGCTCATTTTCTGATCTGCTCAGTAACTCCTCCATTTCCATTTCCAGCAGCCTGATGGACAAGGAGGCCAGAGAACAGGGAGGGAGAGCAAGGGCAGGTGGCTGCCTTGCCCGAGCTCAAGGAAAGCCCACCCTGCCATATCACTGGAGAGCCTCTCCTCTATAGAAAAGCAGCATAAGGTTTGAAGCCCTGGCACTGCCCCAGGCTCTATCACTCCTTCTGGACAGGGTGCTCAGGCCCATGATTCCACCTATTAGTTTAGCTCCTGCTCAGAACCTGAGTCAATCAGGTTGCAAAGCAGCTGCTCTAGCCACCTGAAGGATGGCACCACACTGGCCCTCTCCAAGAAACACGCTGCAGACACTTTTCCTTCCATCTCACTTTGATGATGCCCAAGGTTCCGTTATCCCACCCTGAACACAAGCCCTAAACATGTTCAGGAACCTTGGTAGAATGAAGGAGTAGGTGAGAAGAAGAATTTATTGGGAATATCCCTACCAAACCAGGACCTGTATCCCTCAGCTCCAAGTCCCACCATGCTGCTGGGGAAAACAATTAAAAAGGTGGAAGTTGGGCATATCTTAGGAATTTCTGGAGGGGGCAACCCCTCCACACCAAAAGAGGCCTGGAGGAGGATCAGGTGATTTAGGGACAAGCAGAAGAATGACTGCCTCCACCGATATTGGATTTTCTGGACCTGGACATGACTTACTGGAGAGGATGCTATTTTCTTCCTGGGAGGTCAGAGAAAGGAAGCCTGAGCCTGCCTTTTTCTCAGAGTTGATGTTAAGGTCAATGTATAGTCAATCCACCCATCAGGTTCATTCTTATGGGGCTGGGAATACCAAGGAAGTGTGGCATGGGGGAGAGAAAGGGAAGGGATGCCGGGAGCAGAGGCAAGAGGGCAAGGTTACCTCTGTTCTACCTCAGATCGGTATCCACATCACCTCCCCTACCCCACCCAGTGGAAGCTCCACCCCTTGGTTGCCCACTGAGACTTAAGGCTACCAGAAGCCATCAGCTCTCTCTCTGGTTGGCCCACCAACACTTCTCATTGGGCAGAGGGCTGAGAATTTCCCTATCCTCACCCTTGGCCCATAGTTCAGGGGTCCATTTCTGACTCTCCCCAAACTCACATTTAGCGTTCACCCTCATCTAGGGCCTGGAATCTCTACTTAGTCTTCCTCCTCCCAACCCCACCATCCAGAAGGAGAATGAGGCCTTCTGCAACCCCTCTCAGACCCCAAGCAGGTCCTGGAGCTGGAGCTGCAGTTGTAGAGATGGGTCAGGGGAGAGGAGATGCTGGGGGTGCCAAAACCAGTCATCGTCATCAGATGATGGCACTGCCGGACAGAGACTCTAAGGCCAAACAGTCCAAGCAGGACAAGTCTGAAGTAATCTTTCCTTGGAAGGGCCACCCCAGCTCTTGGCCCAGGATCCCGGTTCTCGTGACCAGGCTAGGTCTAGATGAGGGAGGGTGCAGCCACACCCACCCTGAGCTGCCCTTCTCTCCCTTCCCCAGAATCCCAAGCATGTTCAACCCGGGGGGGCCTCCACAATACCAGGAGACCCCAGCTGTATCCACCAGAGACTTACAAAGGACACACGGTGGGATTTGGGGTAGTAGAGTGCTGAGGGGGTGGACGAGTATATTCTGCGATCCTGGGCAACTGGAAAGTCACAGACGAGACTAGGAGCCGTGGAAGGAAGGGGAACGAGCAGGAGGGATCAGGGCTGGTGGTGCCTGTGAAACCCAGGAGGACGCTGGTCCTGAGGGCCGTGGCTAGTCCCGGAAGGCGGAGAGCATATGTCCGTAGAGATAGTGGGAGTGAGCTAGAGACAGAGAGACAGGTATGGCGCTGTGAGTTGGGCTCCAGGGTATCTCTGAGACAGGTAGCAACGGTGTCTGCAGGGTGTCAGGCGTGGTATGCTTCCAAGTGCAAAGCGCCCCTGGCTAGGGGAAGCAGAGGGGACAAGCCGGGCAGGGCTGGCGAGCAGGACTGGAGCAGCAGGGCCAGGCTGGCGGCCAGAGGCAGGTGCAGGG